TTTTCTTATATATAGGCAAATACTAAGACGAAATATCTGTAGTTTCTTAAATTATGCTATTTATTGACAGTTGAATATATGTTTTGGAGCGTGTGATGTTGCGACGCTAGAGATTTGAACAAAAACTTAGCGTCGCGACATAAAAAATCAACAAAATTACACATCAAACTAGTCACAACACATTACATTGCATCTAGACATATGGTTCTGTTGTTTATATTTCGGTCTCTCACGTGGTATGACGTCATAGAACCATATTACGGATTTACGACCTGCGTCTGCAATTCCGCGACCGTTATCGTCGCATAGCAATATTCTATGTCATCATAACAGAATATCATCTTTGATGGTGAATATCTTTGTTTAAATGTCCGTATAACCACTTTGATGATGGCTTATGTGAGCCGAAAGCTTAAATCAAAGAACAGCATATTAAAAAATTATCCAAATGTTGGATAATTTTTTCTTTATTTTTAACCGAAATTAAAACAAATATATGGAGTTTAGAACGGCTCATGATCAAACATAATAGACATTCGTTGTTTGTTATATTTAACAATATATATATATATATATATATATATATATATATACGTTGAGAATCCTTTATCCGAAATTCTTAGGACCGGAAGTGCTTCAGTTTTCAGATTTTTAAGACTTTTTTAGATTTTGGAATACAGGCTATTTAATTTGTATATAGTATCTATAAAATGGGACAACTTGAGAACCTTTCATTTGTGGGAAATCATGTCAGCACCTGAAAAACTTTTGGATTATGGAGTTTTTCGGATCTAGAAATTTCGGATAATGGATGCTCAACTTGTATTTATATTGTTTAAAACTGTCTATATTTATTGGAGAATAATGTTCAATATCAGGAACAGAGCATTTTAAAATATAAACAATATGAACTGACATCAACACTATATTATTTGACTATCGCTTCAAGCGTAAAACTGCCAGTCACAATTCAATGTTGATTTCTATGTTCGCACTGTTTCTATCTATCTATCTATCTATCTATCTATCTATCTATCTATCTATCTATCTATCTATGTGTGTGTCTGCGCATTCAAGTGTACATAATTTTATATGATTATATATACAGTGGGAGAAAACAAATATTCGTACACATACAAATTTTTAATTTATTGCATTTCCAATTAATGAATAAACATACTTTTCATATAATTAACTGTACACAGATCCATAACTAAATATGCATAGAAAACAGAAAAATAATCCCATTTATCCATTTTAGTGGGGGGAAAAGTATTCGTACAATTCGAATTTCAGATTTTAAAACTTTTAAATTGCTTTAATACTCTGGATTATTCAAGTGGAATGTTCTAGAATGTTCCACTAATGTTATCAATAGTTATTTTTAGCCTAAAAATACTAACAGAACATTCTGTAATTGATATTCGTGCAAGAAGTTTATTATCATAACAAGAGGTAAACAATTGACAAATTCGTAAAAAAAACTGATTGTTAAGCTCTGGAAAAGAAGGTAAAAGTTACAGGAAAATCTCAAACAACCTGAATATTACATTTACTACTATTAGTTCATTCATTGCAAGATATATAAACATAAAACTGTTGAAAACCAAAGAACAGGCGCTCTATGGAAGAATTCTTCAAGATCTTCGATGAAATTAATGCATCACATTAAACAAAATCCAATGGTTACTCGTCAAGAGTTGCAGGATGATTTGCTTTCATCGGGAATCTGTGTCACTAAATGGACAATAAGCAATGAAATTCATAGGAACAATTGAAAGTCACGCCCACCTCAGAAAACTACACTGTTATTGAAAAGACAAAGATGTCAGGTCAAAATTCGTTCATGAACATAAGGATAAAGAAAAATCGTATCGGGAAAGAGTATTATGGATAGACGAAACCAAAATTTAGTTGTTTAGACATAATTCTAGAAATCATGTATGCAGGAAAGATAGTTCTTCAAACAAAAGAACACAGTTCCAACAGTGAAATTTGTGGCTGGTAGCATCATGTTTTCTGCAAAAGTACTGGCAACATATCAATAATAGATGGTAGAATGAATGCCGCAGCATATCAAATTTTGGAAGCAAATTTAACGATTTTGGTTGAAAATCTTGAACTGCCTCATGACTGGATCTTCCAACAATATAATGATCCTAAGCACACTGCAAAATCTAGGAAGAAATGGCTTGTAAATATCCTGAAATGGACAAGTCAGTCCCCAGATTTAAACCCAATCGAAAATCTGTGGCGTTATTTGAAAATTCAAATCCAATCGAGAGCTCCAACAAACATCCCGGATCTGAAGTCCATATGCGAAGAAGAATGAAACAAAATGCCAACTAAAATTTAAAAATCATTAATTGAGAACTACAAGATGAGGTTGATTACTGTAGAAATGAATAATGGCTATTCTACAAAGTATTAAATTAAGATTATGTGCTTTTCACCCATTAAAATAGATAAATGGGATTGATTTCTTTTCACTCAATTTTTTTCTGTTTTCTATGCATATTTAGTTAATTATATGAAAAGTATGTTTATTCATTAGTTGGGAATACAATAAATTAAAAATTTGTATGTGTACGAATACTTGTTTCCTCCACTGTAAATTTATATGGATAAAAAGACAAGTGGAAAATATTTCTTAGTCATTGCCGAGGCATTTCGTCAATCCGACTTTATCAAAGCAAGTTTTTAGCGAAATAAAAAGGGAACGCTCATGTGTAAGCCTCGTTTTGGATGATAACTTTTTTCTTTTTTTTTTTACTAAGAATTTGTTTTAGTTTTCCGTGTCGTCCCCTTTTTAATATTTTGAATTTGATGTAACTACAAAAAATCTCGCTTTTAAACTCGCCTTGATAAAGTCGGATCGATGAAACGCGTCGACAATGACTAAGAAATATTTTCCAATTGTCTTTTTTATGCAATTTATCTTATTTTCAGAATTATCATGAGAAATTTAACATATAAATTTATATGTAAACGTACTATGCAAAATTCTTCTCTTCTAACGAATTATTTTGTTGTTACGATAATTTATATGAAAACGCCGTACCTTCCATATTTCATGAAGCAAATCACATTTGATTTTCATTTAAACTTTGTTTACTTAATATGGCCTCTGATTATATGAGAGATGCTGAAAATTACTCGGACAAAGAAGCTCTTCACAAAATATTCTGTTTAGTCGTCATTTGGTAAGATCGAGAACTTTTCACTTGAACTTGATTAGCGCGCGTCCACACACATGACAGTTACCATCTAATCAGGTGTTTCAGTCAATATCGATTCTAGGAAAAGTCATCCTAACACACAACTCAGAAATGATTTCTTTGGTCACAAAATGGTAATAAAAAAAAAACATCCTCGAAATGTGTAGGAAACTTGTCAAAAGCACGTTTTCGATACCTTCGTTGCATGATTGTTGGATGCAGACCTCCCTGCAAAACCTTGGAGTTTCTCTCCGTCGAAACTCAGTGAAGATGCAATGCTCGGTCTACAGCATCCGTTTCTCAGGTAGTGTGTATGTGCGGGTGGTTTAATGGTTAGCGCTTCGGAATGAGAAATCGGAGAGCCGAGTTCGAATTCTATTTTTGAAAAAATAGGAAATAATTTCCCCCCCAACTATGGGTCAAAAAGTAGAATTTGTATCTGGAAAATCGTTGTTATGCTAAAAAAAAAAATTGAATGCAACATTCACTCCTCCCAAAAAAGAAAGAAATATTCTTACAATCCAAAAATTTTCGGCTAGGAGTGATAAACCGTAAATAATCAAATCAATCTGTCACAAGCAGGGGAAACAGAGAAAATCAGTAAACGAACAGGCGGAGGGTGTGCGTTAAGCACACTTCCGCCTAACCCTTTAAGGACAACTGTTATCGAAGGCAAGCCTGAACCGATGCTTTGATCTTTGCCCCCCCCCATTCAATCCTTCCCTAATCACACTTTTAAAAGACTCTGGAAGCAGTGCTGATTAATTTAGACCTGTCCAAAGCATTTGACAGGGTGGTTGTCTTGGTGGCTGCCGAATTTGAAGCTGAATTTTACAAATGGATTAATCTTTTTTTTTTTTCTTTTTTTTTTTACCAGAATCCCAGTGTCGTGTTGCAGGAGAATAGAAAGCATTTGGAAACATTTCAGATCACGTGCTCAATTTGTCAGGGTTTGCTATCACCCTTTCTTTATGTCTTCATACAGGAACACTGCCTGCACAAGCACAAGAGAGAGTGGAATTCATGTCAGGGTGTCCTCCTATGATGTAACCACTTTTGTGTTTTGCTGGTCTGACATCGAGCAGGTCCGAAAATTTCGAAAATATAGCTAAGATTAATCGCGACAAGTCCACCGACTGGCGCTTAATATTTGTTCAATATAGTTACGGGTTTGTAACTATGACACACACTTCATGATTGTTCATTTATAACGGATCCTCACTCTTCTGCTGAATAGCTTCATGTTGAATTTAATTGTTGAAAACACTTGTCAAAAGAGGAATAAACACTTGCGACATCCGTAGGTACAATTCACAAGATAAATCATCTAACCTCGGCGATTTCTCACTGCTGATAATCTTCAACGTTTTTCAAACTTCACTCACCCTCCATAATTGTGCCTTTGCAACCAACAGCTTCGTGTGACTCCAGTCGTTGGAAGTCATTGGTCAAATAACTACGAAATTCCTACTCGGACTGACAAGGCTCGCTGGAGAAAGGTTTTGTCTGCAGTGCGCGCCTGTCGATTGATTGATTGATTTTTTTTTACAGTTTCTCTAACTGTTATTTAAAGCCAAAACATATTTTTAGATTATGAGAATTTTTTTTAGATAATAATGATTTACTGATACAAATCCTACTAATTAACCCATAGTTAGGGGAGAAGATATGGATTCATACTTTTCCGCGTAACTAAATATAATGAGCCTGACTGGAATTGGAACTTGACTCTTTGATTGCCAATTCCGAGACATTATCGCTTACACCTCACGTGCATCCAAGCTTACAACACCTGGTATTCACAAGCAGGCACCCATCTAAGTACTGACCAGGTTCGACTTTGCTTAACTTCGGTGATCGTACGAGAACTGGTATTTCAACGTGATATGATCGTAAGCTTCTTGAATGTAACGATTTAGCGCTTAATGCAACTCTTCTTTGTACCGTTTTTTGTCTATATTCAGATCTTCAGAGGATGTCCTCTATAACCTAATCTTACTTACTTGACCCTTAGTAACGTTCGTTAGCCGATACCTCCATGTTTTTCTTGACAAACTCTATGCTCAGGGTGTCCCCTCTTCCATCATCTGCGTCAATCTATCACCTAGTGTCGCTTCCGTCTCTATACCCTTCTTAAGTATTTCACGGCGAACAACTTAATGTTATTTATAAGGCCACCACTTATTTCCCGTAACTGGCCCTTTGAATAAGTTTAATTAGTTGTTTTTGAAAGTCATACATTTGAATCACAAGCGCTGGGTGGTTAATGTAATCGCAGAGCACTAAAAGACGCTAAAATCGATTGTGACGCTCCGATCATTAAAACCATTAAACATTTGATGCTTTGTACTTTTTACAAAAGTAGCTCCCGGAACGTACTAGAGTTGTAGACGAGATTTTATTGACAGAATCCTTTTGTAGCCTCGACAAAGACCTCCAGGGCGTGTAGCTTTTCAAAAGATATGCGACAAATGAACATGTGTTTCAGGCCCGGAGACTTTCTGCATGAGTCAATCAGATCTGATCGACCGTCATTATTTGAAGTTGAGTGACGTTGGTCAAATGTTATACACTATCTTTTTTAGTAGACGTATTCTTAGTCTATCTGCTTAATGTTCACCATGTAGTATTCCATTATAGGGTTATCTCGCTTGGTCGATACGACTTGTTTTGAATGTACTAACAGCTGTAGCGAAATAGTTACTTTCTTATCCATATGGCGAAAGTAAAAAGTAAAAAGTATTTGTTTTAAATGTTATAAAATTTAGATATAAAATGTTTCTTTGTGAATAAATTAAAGAAAAGATTTAAAAAATGGTCAATCAAAAGAACAGATTTTGGATAAACTACACAAGTAGTGTTTAAAGCTCTGTTTATAATTTCTTTAGCTCCTGGATTAAAAAAAACATGACTTTGGGGTCTTTGTCACTCAAATAGATTTTCCATGTCAGGAGACTTTATCTAGTCAACGTAAACAATGTCAAATGTTCTATCAGATCATTAAATAAATTTATTTAATCTAGCAGACATCAAAGGGATGGAAAGCTAAATAAATATCAGGGCCTTGAACAAGTGAAAAATAATAATTGAAACAAGACTAATAAAGAGAGTGACTGATATTAAGGAGGTTTGCTACCACTTGATCTCCATTCACCAGATACTACACGTACGAAAGGTCAATAAATAATGCATTCTATAATACGAGAATCACTCGTGATCATTTCACGGCATTTCTATTTGAATTTTCTGATGAATCTTAATTCTTAAGGTATTGATTGAATAAGCTAATGGCGAGTTTTACAATAATGCATTATATCCGTATAAATTCTCATATCCCCAAAATTTGAGCTTAATAACTTTAGCAAAACCGACTTTTTTCATTTCACTGAAACAGACGTTAAACAGTTCTTTCTTTCTTTCTTTCTTTCTTTCTTTCATTCTTTCTTTTTCTGACTGAAGTAGCATCTCTGATATGTTTTTCCATGTATCCACGCCATCAAAACGGAATAGTCTATTATTTATGAGGTGACGTTATACACTTCTATTTTCCCTTCTTTCTTTCATTTTCTCACTGAAACAAAGTAGCGCCTCTAATATTTCTTTTCCGTCTTTCCACACGATCAAAATGGAATAGTCCATCGTTAAAGAAGTATTGGCATGACGTAACGGCCGTGCTAACTAACGGAGAGATAAGCAGAATTATAATAAAATAAAACACGATGTGAATTTATATCTTTATTTGTCACACTTCTGACCTCCCTAATTCAGATAATAAAATATTCAGTAGTTTATGGTAACACTGACTCCCTGCTCTCGGAGTTACTATAGCATGATGCCGATAATATATTACTTTCATCTAAGTTTTTTTTTTTTTGGGGGGGGGGATATTTTTACTTTTAATCACTTAAAAAGCAAAATTCTTTTGAGTTGTAAAATAAGATACGACAATAGAATTATGCAGAACGTATATATACTTAGATTTAGACAGAAGTGCTAAGCCTTATATAAATAAGTCCGTCAGTTTTGATGGGTACTATGCTGGTTGAACATAAACAAGAAAAGCTTGAAGTCTTTTTTATAATATAGAAGTATTATTTTTTAATGCCATATCTGTTTAGGAAGTAGATGATCATGGCTCTCTGCAAATTCCTTTTTTATTGTCTATGAATTACCAAAACTTCTTGTGAAAGGTGGCAAACTGTTTTATTTTTATCTCGATACGATTTTCAATTCAGAGTAGTCCTTATCCTAGACTCAAGGCTAGACAACCTAGTCTACTCTGCTATTTAACCCACAACTTGGATATAAGTAGAATGTAATTGTAAAATTAAATATTTTTGCTATTATTTTTGACGGCATGAGTAAACTTTTTTATGTGCCGTGTTACATCATGATGTGGGTGATTGTGCCTCTCCACAACTTCCTCCTTTCTTGTTGTTCTAAGCAACATTTGATTTTTACCAACCCCCTCTGTCCTCTCTCTGACAACCATTCACCTAAACCCACTGTTACTCATTGCTTCCCTCTGTCAATATGTTCTGTGAGTGTTCAATTTTCCAAACTCTCTTTCCTCATAATGTCTCTGAAAGTTCAGCAAGCCATAATAATATAAAATATGCAAATACTCAAACCAACAAGTTCCATTTCATGGACGAAATTTTATTGGCCGTATCTTTTTGTATCCTTGGCAAGGACAAGCAGGACAAGCAGGACAAGCAGGACCAATTTGTGTCTATACGTATAATTTCTTTTAAAGGATACGCAACTAGAGAGCGTCTGTTTGAGGCTAGCAGAATTTATGAATGAATTGGGTCGGTCAGATCAGATTGACCTTCACAGTTTGGGTTATCTGTTTCAGACCTATTTTCCTTTACCAATATTCAGAGACTGGAAAGCAGTTCTGTGACTTTGTGTTAAATAATATTTTAGCAGACTATTATTTTTAGGGGAAATGGTATCTCTGCTTCGACTTCGAGGTCAGATGGAAGACAAAACAAAGTAGTTGATTTTGATTGGCTGAACTAGCGTGGGAATGATAGATTAGAGAAAGATTTTTCAGTGAGTCGCGTCTTAACGGCCAAACAATGTAGACGTGTTTTCTTTCGTATCTGAAACGGCTCCCAAATGGGCGACGGGAACGACATCCACTAAATAGGCAGAACATGTCAACATGAACATTAATAAAACATCTCGGTTAAAATTCTGCGTGAACTAAAACAATTAGTGATCACCGGCCAAGAGAAAACAAGAGGGGAGCAGCCCCATCAGGGGAATATGCAACATTTGAAGCAAGCGGCTTTTAACTTTTTACTCATAAAACGACAATTTGAATTCATCTTTTTTTTAAATCATTTCACCCTAAGCAAGGCATAAAAGCCACTAAGATGCAAGGTATTACTGAGTGTGAAAGAATATAAAAAAAAAAAACATTAAGTTGCGAAAAGAATAAAAGAAGTGAAATTCAGAACTGACATTGCATTAGATTTGTAAAGATCAAACTTGATTAGTGTTGTAGAGTAGTTTTCACAGTGGAGGCTTGTATTTCACTGAGTCGGTCCTAAAAAGGTTCGACGTACACAACGTTAGGAACTTGAAATAATAGTTGATGACGCAGCAATCTAGTTGTGGTGATTGATACTTTAATGTCCGACATCGACTGACTGACCAACTCTCTGAGCTCACTGGCGACTGCTACTGCTACTACTTATTATATGTGGGAGAGTCTATTTACAATAGAATAGGTATGTTCTAGTATAACAATTAGGATGCAAGAAGCCAGAGGAGAGTTTCACAAGCGAGAAGTTCGAGAATAGAAACTGTTAGCATAGAACTTACGGTTACACCTAACCATTTCAACTGTAAAATGATGAGACCTTGCCGCCAACCTAGTACTACGCTTAAATTCATAAAGTCTAGGTACTATAGAGGAGAGTTCTTCAGAACAATTATCCTGAAAGTATTTATAGAAAAGGCACAGGGAAGCTACATTACGGTGGTGGGGGAAGTGATTGAAGCCGAGATGTCAGGCCAGGACCAGTAACATTGCGGATTCTCCTTTGGATTTTATCAAGGATCCCTAAATATATAGCAAGAGCACCAGACCAAATGTGGCAGCAATATTCAAAGCATTATCGAACGGTAGAGTTGTAAATATGTAAGATAGATTTCAGCGAGAACAAATTGCCTAGAACGACACCTAGAACTTTCCTAACAGCAGACCTAGCAATTGATTCGATATAATCTCTCCACGTCATATCAACGTAAAACGTTTGTCCGAGAAGGCGAAACTAATCTAAAATTATAATTTAGATGTCAGTTAATATAGAGTGGCCACTGAAAAACTGAAGGTTTACAGAAAGTCATAACTTGTTCGCTTACAATCTCTTTTTTTTTTTTTTTTTTTTTTTTACAGGTTATAGAACATCTCTTGGGGATTAAAATGGCTACGTGTGATGTTCAGCAACGAGTAAAACTCCTTGAGATTTTCTATTCCAATGAAAGATCAATTATTCAAACTCATAGAAATACTGGCAACATTTTAATATCAGAATATCTCCTAGCGCTAACATGATTCGGAATCTAATCTTCCGGTTTGAAAAAACTGGATCAGTCGGCGATCTTCCGGGAAGAGGTCCTTAGTGCACTGACGCAACGGCAGAATCTGTACAGCAGAGTCTCCTTGAGGATCCATTAGCTTCTACTCGTCGTCGCTCTGCTCAACTAGGCATCCATCGTTTCATAAGATTCTGAAGCTGGATTTAAAAATGTTTCCATACAAGATTCAAATGGCCCAAACTTTACTACCCCAAGATAATCATGTGTTTGTAAAAAATATTTTTTGTTTTATATCATTCAGTCTTTCACAGGCCACCAGTAATTGTCGTTCATATCGAGAG